GACCTCGTCCTCAGTCATGGTTCCCGAGCTTGATGTTAGAAAGCTTGGTCCAAACTGGGAATGACCCTATAGAATCAAGCAAGTAGTAGGACCTGGCACCTTTTGGTTGGAATACATGGGCGAAAGACCAGTGCCTCATACCTAGAACTTTGAACATCTCCGAATGTACTATCAATAGAAGTGTAAATACCTTAGTGGAAAATTGTAAATGAAAAGTGCAAGTTCCTCTCACTTCGGATCTTTCTTTGTGTAAATGTTCTCGTTCCCTCCAGCTGCTAGGATCCCTCAATTGACCAACTGCAGTATACAACCTTTCTTAAGGTTATATGCTCGGATCTGACATTGGCCCCCTTGGTCAACCGACCACAACATATGACCTTCCTTAAGGTTATACGCTTGGACCAGATGTCAGCACAAGGCATACGACACTTTGCTAGTCATACGCCTAATTGCCTTTTGACCTTCTTTGACTAAGGCAAGAGCTTCCAGGACCTCGACATCTGTTGATAAGTGGCCCACAACCTCGGCCTTGGCCTTAAAGACCCTTAAAGAAGCAAGTCTTTGTGAAGGTCAAAGAGCCAACACTGACCAATTACCTAATAAAAAACATGATGAATGACATAGTAAGTAAACAAGCACTTCTCCACTAAGGCAACCGCTCGTGGCCTCGGCTGTAGAACCCCCGTGGAATGGTGCACTAAGGAAAGGGAATTTTTTCACTAAGGCAAAATGTTTCGAGACCTCAGCAATAGTTATCGAGCGACTTGTAATATTAGCCGCAACCTAAAAGACTCTAATATAGAACATCTTCACGAAAGACTAAGTAAAGAATACTATCACAAAAAAGAGATACTTTATTAAAGAATGGCAAGTTTCTTTACAAAAGTGTCTCTTTGGGGGGAAGCATCGGCCCCTTGCACAAGAGAATAAGAGAAGAAGAGCATATTTTAACAAGAAACTCAAGTTCCATTAACTTAAGTGTTTTTACAAAAAAAGGCCTCTTATGGGGGAGGTGTTAGCCCCTTACAAAAAAAAAGGAGAAAAAAATATAAGGAAGACGTCGAACCTTGGAACAGGTCCAGCTGAATGATGTCGAAGCTTGGAAGAATCTTTGACACTTGGGCCTTACAACCATCGAAGCCCTCTAGGTAAGACTGGGAGGCAAAGGAGGTCAGGTCCGTCTTGTGCTCCTTCGAGGCCTTACACTTTTTGACTGGCTACGTGACCACCTCCTCCAACTGTTGCTCCACTGACACCAACAAAGACTTCCGCTCCTTCATAAGCTCCCTCTTGGCAATCACCTCGACCTCGACCTTCTTGTGATTTTCGTGCTCATCATGGGCCCGCCCCTCGGCCTCTGCTGACTGCTGCTTTAGGTGCTCAATCTCCTCTTGCGCTTGTTGAAGCTGCTGGATCTGCACCTCCACCTTGTCACAGAGACCGACTGAGTAGGAGACCATCTGCACAGAAAAAAAGGACAAACCGTCAATAACATTCCACTAAGAAGACCTCGGCCACATAATGGACTCAGGGAAGAACTCGCATACCTTAGTGGCCTTGTCTAAAAGCGTGTCCCAGACCAAATCCAAAGTATGTTGTGTCTAGGACTGGCGGTCACCAGGAAGGACCATGCCCACCACTAGTTGCTGACCAATGCCAACCACCGACAGGGAGTCCCCCTCTTGCACACTCCACTACAGTCGGTAGATCTGACGATTGTTGAGTAGCTCGTTCTCCCTGGGTTGGACGATCGAGGCCCCCCTTGGTTTGATCTACCTGAGGTCCCCTTGGCTCAATGCTGCTCACGTAGCTGAAGTTTCTTTGCCCGATGGACTTGGGCCGCTTCTGTAGGGTGCTTTTGCACCATCACCTTACGGGTCGCCTCGGCCTCGACCCATTGTTTAGCGGTCACCTCCTCCTACAAACACCAAGGCATGCTCCCAGTAGCTCCCTTTGCGGTGGCTCTCATGGACACTGCAGCCTCTAGAAACTTCACCTTCCTATTGCCATCCATTTCTGTTGACAAGAGAAACAAACAAGTTAGAAAAGCGGTAACGGAATTCAAGTAATGTCGCAACTAGTAGACAACGGGAGTGTCCATACCAAGGGGGGCAGGACTAAAGCCGACCATCACCAAGGCCTCCTTCTTCACTAAGGGTCCACATGAATCGTCCCGCCTAGTCGAAGCCGATTCATCACGACCTTCTCCTCATCGCTATTGTGTGGTACAATCCTCTCGGCCAGTGTATTTAGGTTTCCTTAACCGGATCAAAAGGACCAGCCTTGGGGGCAACTAACAAAGAGAAATTTCTTCTTTCAATTGTGAACAGACGACGGGTTGTCCATCACCTTTCCCTGTCGGCCTTGGAAATACCACAAGTCTTCCTCGTTGTGATACTTCCTCAATGCGAACAAACTCCAAAATATGTTCAGAATCACAAACACATCTTGGAGATGGGTCATCACCTACACAACCACTATCATCTTAACAACATTGAGAGCGAGTTGGCTAAGGGTGAGATTGTAATGGTTCAGAATCTCAGGGATTAGAGGGTGTAGTGGAAAACACAACCCAAAGTGAAGCTAATGCTCGTGGAAGCACTCCAATCAGGAAGTTTGTAAGCTTCAGGACCAGAATTTGAGGCTAGCATGTCGATGGTAGAGGTTCTTTACCTAAGAATTGTTTGCGAAAAGAAGTCTAAGGAATTGGTTGTAGAAAGCTGAGGTGTCCCTAGTAGCTCCATGACTAAGGGTTTCGAGCAAATGGTGAAGTCTTGCTCAACCAGCCTCCCTATTTAAAGGAAAATGTACGACCCAGATTCAATTGATTCAATGGCCATGGATCGATTGACCTAACAGCTCGAACCGATGGGCTCCACGTGGCACCAACCTCGGGAAATGAAACGATGCCAAGAGATGAGGTCGGTTCGCCTTTCAACTCTAGCTCAAGGATGCGCCGAACTAGACCCCCCGTGTTGTCTCGCACACGGATTCAATCAGTTGACCCCGACACCCGTCCTGTGTACAGACCTACGACGAATGACGTCAGTGCCCGTATAGGGCACGGGCAATGCACGTGGGTAGCCTATGCTCGTACAGGCCACAACCACACACCCTCGGCTTGGAATGATCCTTTACTGACATGAAGGGTGGATGAAAGAGCAGTCGCCACACAATTGCCGAGAAGAACTCCATAGCCGCCTCCACGTGAATCTACCATACTCTCTTTGGCTGAAGCCGAGGCCTCAACGTAACCCACCAACCGACCTTGGCCGCTACAACCTTGAGAGTGGGGCGCAAGTGATGTAGGGATATCTGGCCAACCTATGGATCTTGACACATGGCGTCAGCTGGATGCATCCTAGCCAACCATCATTAACCACTGCCAACCGCCATCACTTGCTCCCAATTGCCCCTCTTCTAAGGCAACTCCGACTATAAAAGGGGCTCCCACATTGAGGTAAGAACACATAGGCTTAAGATCTAAGTTTCCTCTCTTGCTTGGTCCAACCTCTCACAGCTCTTGTCTAACTTGAGCGTCGGAGTCCCCTTGGGGTGACTCCCAGGACCTCTGACGTGTTCTTTCTCTTAGCAGGTTGGAGCCATAGACCTTAAACACCAAAAATTGCGTTGTTGCCCTTGACTCCATATTTGGCAGCAACAACAAATATTATTTTATCTAAGTTGACTATGGATTTGTTGTGAAATGCAAGAGGGAGAGGTGAAACCTATAGACTTGGAAGTACGAGGGGTAAAAAATTCATGTGTTTTGAATCTTCCCTCAAAAGCAGTATAAATAAACGAGATTTGTTGTAATGAGACCCTTCTTTGAACTGTTGAATTAAGCCCAACCTCATATCTTCATGTATCCTCTCCTCCACCAAATCAAGGGGATACCCTTCTCTTATCAGGCTTGTTTATTCTGAATGGGCGACCATAAGCATTTCATTTTTCACGTTTCTCTACATTTCATCTATCCTGGTAATTGTCTCTGATAGATTACCTTGGTCATGATCATCGAACCGACCTTCAGCACAATGAAGGCATGGATGAATTCTCATTTATCATCTGTTAAAATGCCAAATCAAGAAACCGGTTGGCCGGCTTCTATAAATCATGAAGGGGGAAAAAGAGGGAATAGATGTATTCTCACCACACATCAACGCCAGGCTGCAATAAGCAAAGCAATAGCACCAGAGGTGAGACAGCCATGATGAACAAACTACAAAGAATGAAAGAAACAAGAAAAACAATTTTTTTTTGGGAGATGAGAGTAGGTGCAAATCTGATTTTGTTAGGTAAAACCACTTACTACAATCATCTATTTTTTAAAACAAATAGCAGAAAGAATTAACACATAGGAATTGCATATGGCATCCAACATGTTTCAGTGATGTCAAGAAAACTAAGATACCATTTTTCCTTCCCTGTAAAGTAATTTGACTGAATCAGAAAACTCTTTTTTGTTATCTTTTAATGTTTTATGGCACCACCCACTCTGGACTTTATCCAATCTGATCAACTGGCGTGACCAACACCCCTAACCTGGAGAACCCAACATGCATTTGAGTTCAGAATTAAACAAGCAATTTAATAGGGGGATGTTCTTGGGTCCTCTAGCTGTCCAGTCCGAGCTTTCAGGCTAATTGACTTTGACATAAGTTCTTGATGTCAACAGAAACCGGTTAAGCACCCTTAAGTGCATTGGGCAAGAACCGATCTGAAACTTCCATGAAACCATAACCTTACATGTAGAGTTGTGGAAATTATGCTCAATGACAATAAGGATGATGCAAATCTCGGAACTAGCTAGTGGATATGCCACTTAAGCTTAATTTATCCTAATTTCCATTAGAAAATTCTACAATAAACCATGCACCATCTATTAAATAATACAGGCTGCTTGTATTTTGTGACTATTGACTTAGAACTCCACTACCATGACTTGTTATTAAAGAGGCAGGAGAGATGGAAGAAACTGCTCATACAAAGTAGTCATTCTTCTAAAACAAAACCATCCCACTTCTAATAAACTCGTTCATTTAAGGATGGGGATGGTCATATACTCAGATGCCATATTAGTGCCCTTGAGTCTCTTCCTTACAATGGGCTACCATGCTTACCTATTGCAGTACTACTTCAGGAACAATCCCACCCTTGCTACCACTGGAGTTGATGCAATAAGGAGAAGGATGTGGGTTCTAAGCATTAAAGAGGTAAACAGTGGAAACATAATTTTCCTTTCTCTTATGTTGAAGAATGAGACTTAGACCTCAAAGGTGCAATAGCGCAAGCAAATTTAGTAGCTGTTTCTAGTAATGTAAATAGAAGGATTAGTTATTACATGATCAAATGAGGCCCTAAACTGCTCTCCCCCCACCAGCCCACCCCTTACATTTTCTGTGGTTTACTAAGATGGTTAATATCTTGCAGGATAATCAGAAAAAAAGCATGCTTGCAGTCCAAAGCTCAAGAAACTCTCTAATGGCTACCATACTTGGTGCTGCCATAGCTGTTGCTCTGAATTCATCATTGGCAGCTCTTACCAACAATACGTATAATGCTGCCCACCTCTTCAACAGTACCCTCTTGGGCTTACACTCTGGTCAAGCCCTAGTTCTGAAGTATGGCTTAGCATCAATCCTCCTATTGAGTAGTTTCTTATGCAGCTCCATGGCACTCGGATGCTTGACAGATGCAAATTTTCTTGTAAGCGTGCCCAATGGGTTATCACCTGAACACTTGCAAGCCATGTTTGACCGAGGATTCATCTTAGCTTTTATAGGCAATCGGGCACTCTATGCCACTTTTCCTTTGTTGTTATGGCTGTTTGGACCCATCGCAGTTGCACTGTCGTCGATGGCATTAATATGGGTGCTATATGAGCTTGATTTTGGTGGGAATGGTGTCAAGGTCAATTTGCCTAGAACAAGTCCTGCATGTAATGTCAAATTGTTAAGTGAAGTGTGCTAAATGAATTATATGTAACGATTCATTCTGTTTTTAATGTGATGAAGCTGAAAAGTTTTAACTCTAAGTTGGAAGATAGATGCCAAAACCAACATACTGATTAAATGGTCCAAAACCAATGACTTTTCTGGTTTAGGTTGTTCAGAAGAAACTCCCCCATATGCTTGATATAGTGCCTTACAGGGTCTTGGGAGGGGGTAGACTGGATATGGACCTAACCTTCGGCTTGTTTTCTTGAATTTCTCTCATACACTATCTTCAATGGTGCATCCGTGCTAATTGTAACCCAAGCTTCCTTTACTTGGAGATACATTGACTTGAGCTTCTCTAAGCCAATTGCCAATCATCTATATGAAATAATTCAAGATTTTCATTTATAAAATGAAAGACATAAATGTGAGAAGTAAGAAAGCCAGATCGGGCTACTGATGTCTCTCCTACTAGTGCCATTCCTTGTACAAATTATTATTTTAGTATGTATTTGGCATTGGTTTTGGGAACATTGCAACGTTTTATCATGAAAACGGTACTTTTTTTTTGTTTGGAACTGGTGCTATCATATAGGCGTTTTCTGAGAAAACATCACTGTTTTTGTTTGATACCAGTGCTGACAGAAACGTTTTCAACATTGATCTATGTTATCCAATGTCCAAGATGATGCCACATCATTGCACCATTGGTAGTAATGCACTGCTTTCTCAGAAAACATTGAATTTGGCGTTGCTCTAGATCATACTTTCCCGATCTCCAAGACATGGTCTAAAGCAACATTTTTTTCTGAAAAAACAGTATCAAACAAGAGGGCATTGTTTGAAGCACTGCTTTCACTGATGTGGCACCCACACAAAACCATTCCTGGGGATAGCATTTCAACTTCGAAAACCAATCAATTTTTAATAGAATTATTTGGTAATCGAGATTTCTCCATAAAAAAACTATAACATAATTTGTTTAGATTCAAGTCTACCCTAATTAAGGGGAAAGGTAAGGAAATAGATTTTTCTTCTATTGAAAGTTTGAAGTCAAATTTAATGGCAGGTTAGAAGGATTTCCAAAACCCATTTGTAAAGAAACATGAGACGATGAAACAAAACAATTTACTAGGAGGAAAGGAAACGAAAGAGAAAAACTCACCCACCCATTTTTATCAACAGTAAGTACATGGAAATTCATCTTTACAGAAATAAGTCATCAACACAATTAAGGAAAATTAGGTGGTGTTTGGTATGAGTCGTATGACTTCCATTTATTTGATAAACAGCATTATGTCATCGCCAAATCAGCATTTGTCCCATCATATCATTTAGTACATATATTTATTGATAAATTTTTATCTTGATTTATGTGTAAACCAACCGTTGGAGGAAGCTTCATTTTAACGCTTCACCCAACACAAAAGTGTTTATTTACTGTTCCACTGATGTGGCACATAACGACACCTAATTATTAACAAATCCTAAAAAAGCGTTTATCAATCACTTTTTCTCAGTTTTGATGACAAATCAAATACAAACATTTATTTAATAAACGAAAGTTATACCAAACACATCGTCAATCGTAGTAAAAACTAGAAAAGAGAAAGTGGTTTATATATTTACAGACATAGAAAGAACCATGAGATGGGGAAGCCCAACTTACAGTCTGCTTTTGGGATTGTAGCATATCCCGCCGGCCACCCCACTGATGTTTCCGGAAATGATTGTGGTCTGGGCCTGACCTACACTAACCACCTTTTTCTGTGAATTCAAAGTATTCTAGTTTCTTTAAGGCTATGTTTGGTTGAAGGAAAAGGTAGGGAAAGGAAATGAAAGAAAAATCAATAGAAGGTTTATAAAGGTTTGCCTATCTTTCCCTATATTATCCTTCAAATCAAACATAACCTAATTGGTTGCATTTTCCCCAGGGCTATGAGAGCTGAATCTTTTCTAACCCCAAATAAAGGCAAGAAGAAGAAACAGATTAAGAAAAAAGAAAATGGGGAAGCAAAAATCAGAGGTTGCTCTAAGAATAAAACCGTAGATAAGGATCTTATCTTTTGGTAAAAAGCGGAAAATAAGGTTGATATGAATAATGTTTTTATTCAAGAATTTTAGTTGGGAATTGAATGGCATGTTATTAGCCTCTAGGTCCTGCGTCCCCAGGGTCCTGGTGCAAGGCACTCCCTCCCGTAGACCTGTAAAATTTCGTCTGAGAAGTGCAACCTTTACTTTTCAATCCGCAGCAAGTAGCAATCCCAAAAATAATATATATATATATATATATAAAGAAAAAATAAAAAATAAAGAAATACACTACATTTCCAAAAAGAATGTTATTTTTCGCCGTAAATAGAACCTGGAAATACACATCCTGTAACTGATTTCAAATTGGGTTCTCTACAATACATTGACTGAAAATATTATAAACTAAATATAAGGAAAGAATATTACAATTTAAGTCTCTATTGCCACAGACCAGCGCTTGGCCACCCAAAAAAAAAAAACTGAAAAAAAAATCAAACCATTTCTCCTTCATACTGCCTCATCCTTGTTACCTACTAATTTGAAATTTAGAGTCCAGTAGAGGATGTCCGGTTTATCCTTTGGGCACCCAGTTTTGGAACAGCGGCTTTGGTTCCTCGACCTCTGCCAGCAGACAAAGGTTTTGCCTTTGTAGTAGGTGGGGGTGCAGCAATGGCAGCCCAAGGATCATCATCATCATGCATTGCTGCCTGCTTCAAATTCAGAGGTTTTGATGATGTTTGTGGAGCAGGTGCAGCAATAGAACCCCATAGATCATCGTCTTCCACCTTGGTTGCCTTAACCACATTTTTGGTCCGCACACCTGTAACTGGAAATTATGTTTTAACCATTATTTATCTTTGATAGGAGTCCGACTATGACATCGAAAAGGTATATCATACCTAAAAAACACTAATAACCAACCAGCTGGTATCATCAAATTGGTAACCAAACAACTGCTATTGATTCAAATTCACATAAGGTTTCTAATCGGATAAGATTTTCAGGTATTATGCCTTTCCAGTATCATAGGAATTGCCTAGAACATTCATAATACAAAACTATAATAGATTAGACTTCCTGTGGCCTCATAGAACAAAAACTAAATGGAGGTAAGTCAGCAGATAACAAATGTGGGTACTGCACTAAGTATGTCAAAATGCATGATTTCAAAATATAACAGAGGCACCATACTAGAGCAGCAGTACCACAGATATCTGGGATATTTAATTATTAATAACTAGGTAATCCATGAAAAACTTCCAAAATATTAAAAAAGCTCCTGTTATGTTCACCATATCTTATGTGTTCATAGAATGGAGTCAGAATTTAGCAGGCTAGCTCTGGATCAGGCAGTGAATAACCAATGGGTCCAGCCTTATGGACTACAAAATGAGTATTAGGATGATAATCTGTTAATTCCAGAATCTCACATAGAGATACAATGAAATCTGGATAACATTAACATAATTCCTGGATATGTATTCAGACCAAGATTTCCATGACAGTAGATTAGAGGATTTTTTTCTCAGTATTTAGAGGATAATTATACCTTGAGGTTTTGGTTGAGAAACTGGCCGTTTCTGAGCAGCTTGAATTGTTGCAAGGGCTGGAGGCGGTTTCTGCTCCTCAAGTGGCTCAACATCATCCCACCCATCTTTGTCACTATCATGATCTTCATTGATTCCATTATCAAGCTCTCCCCAACCATCCGTTGATGTTGGAGATGAGGGTGCAGCCTGATCAGTCAAATCACTACCCAAATTTGCATGGAGTACCACCGTATCTGGAGTATCCACCACTGTCATCATCAGACAACCAAAATCAGAGATATTATATGAACTTGACGATATAGAAATAGACAAAGCAATAATCCAGTAAGAAAAAGATAACCACAATCTCCAATCTATCTAGTGCTCACAAAATGGGAGTGTGGCCATATGATCATCATAAGTAATTGCTATTTTATGGAAAGTGATTGGTCCAATATGTAAGTGGAATGACATAACATGATTAGTTTAAGTGACACCAAATGATGATGATTGCTCCTACTACTCCCACATACATCATTATCGGTCCAGTCTGAGATTAATACTATAAAAGGAAATAAATCCACTTTTTTATTTATATGAATACAGTTTGTTTTTTGGAGGCAATGAAAATCAATATATAAATACAACAAGAACTATATTGCATCTCCTTGAACTAGAATATGATGGATGAAATGGAACAATATACCTAAATGCCAACAAACCTGTACCAAATGTAGAATATTATGGAAAATAGCCAACAACAACCACCATCTAATGGATGAAGCCCATTTTAGAGATGCAGGTTTTGAATAATGTGTCAACTCAAATTCATTAAAAAAATGACACATGAAAGACTGCTGTAAGGGTGATTTTCTTGCAATGGCAACCACAACTTGTAGTATTCAATGAATGTTATACTAGATCTTGGGTATTTTAACTTTAGAGGGTATTTTATTACTCCCTCTGTAAGATTATATCTTACACCAACACTTGTGCTGTTGAAATGATTTTTGAAATGCATAAACCCACATGGGTGGCTTAACAAGGAAAAATTAGTAAGGGGTCAATTGTCAAACATCTTTTACGATGCATAGAAATGAAGCACAGTATGAAGAAGCAAGTGAGCCAGGTATGCACCTAAGCTAGTGCTGGAAGTAGCAGAAGCAAGAGGGGTGCTTGTATTTGCTGAGGCAAGAGGAGCTTGTTCAGAAGCTTTACCCTTGAGTGTCAAAGAGCTCATGGCCCATCTGCATTGTAATTGCCAGAGTAAGAATTACACCATAAGAAACCTTATCATATTTAATATCATGAATCAATTAGTAAAATCAACAAACAGATAACCACTCAAAGGCAAGCAAAACTTTGCCAAATAGACTAAAGAACACTGCATAACATTAGCATAAAATCCACTGATGTTCTACATAAATTCAGGACATCCCGTTGGTGACAAAGCTAATGTGAGAAACAACAATGCTTCTAAAAATATAAACAGCCATATTGCACAACTTAAGCAAACACTTTCAAGGGAAAGAGACAGGTCTGTATATAGAAACAGAGAAGTGGAACTAAATAAAAGGGAACAAAATTTAATCTCAGGCTGCAGATTCAGAAATGTCCTTATTCACCAGAAATGGCAGAAAGTACAATAAGCATATTAAAAAATCACAAAGAAATACAAGAAAGATTAATTATTCTAAACTAGAGGGGTAAATTGGGCCGTGCCGCCCGTGGCCCGGCATGGCCCATATATGTTTATATATATTATATATAATATATAATATGCATGTTGTTTGCTGGAACACAGTTGCCGAAGAAGAAGAAAAGAAGAGGAGAAAGTTTGAGAATGGCGGCTCAAAACCTTTCAGCCGACCCTACTATCTTATATATATGTTTATCACATAGTGTTACATGAATGGACTAGAATGCCCTCGATTAGTGATGGGACACCTAGACAAATAAAACATTAAACAAGTTTAGGCCCAATAACTAATGACTTAAGACCCAGCAATGACTAACATATACATT